CCCCAACCTCCTTCCCTGGCCGACCTCAGACTTCTGTGTGTGTGGCTCAGCCTTGGGTTTCAGTTGTTTGGGTTTTTCATGAAGACCCTTACTGTTTCATCTTCAGTCCTTTGGGGCCAACGTCAATACATAGGCCAGGGTCGGAAACTGTTTCTGTAAAGAGTCAGCTAGTAAATATTTTAGACTTTTGTAGACCATGCGGTCCCTGTTGCAACCTACTCAGTTCGGCTGTTGTAGCAGGGAAGTAGCCATCAGTGGTATATAAAGGAACAGCCATAACTCTGTTTCCATATAGACTCATTTAGAAAAAGCAGGCAGCGGGCCATACATGGCCTGTGGGCTATCGTTTTGCTGACTTGTGATCAAGAGTTTCACTCCTCGCTGCCTCTAATTTGACCAGCCTCAATTCTTTTAACGTAGGCAGACGTCCAAGTGGAGCAAAACCGGCAGCACTTTTACGAACTGTCTCTCGAATATGTATGTAAGCTGCAGGAAATCCAAGAAAGAAAGAAGTTTGAATTCGTGGAACCTGTGAGTATTGTAGCTGGTTGTTCTGCTGGATTTTTGTGGTGTGACGCAAATGTTTTTTTTGTTTTAGCTTTCATTAATGGTTTCTAGAGGCTGTAGTGCACACATATGAAGCAGGCTCCATAAACTGTAAAGGGTGGACACAGCCGCGAGGTCAAGGAATGAACCACCGACACATCAGTCGGTGGTTTTTAGCCTCATCTGCATAGCAACATGTGATGGGTATCATTTCTTTTGCTGCATGGTCTCCAGGACTCTGCCATGAGGTGGAGGTTCACCTTTAATGAACATCCCTGTGAAAGAAGTGCTACTGGAATGTGAGTGAGAGGGATAATACTCCCTCTACTCAAGTTTGTTTCCAAAGCAAGTACAACTGTCCAAACTTGGGTACTTTCAACAATTATTGATAACAGATTATTTCTAGTACAAATCCCAATACTAATACCAACCTAAGTTAAGAACCAGTGTGTGGAACATTTGAAACTATTTTGTGTTATTCTGAGATCGCTTTATACTTATTTTAGAAACACATGATTTTTTTAAAA